AAATGGCTAAAATCCGCTGATGACATTTATACACACGTATACGCTTTCCTCTGAATAACGTGGAGAAATATAGATGTCCATACATGAAACAATATATAACCTGTATTCTGGAAACTCTAAATGCAATAGAAACGGCATTTAAGGTTCGAAATCAATCGAGTAATGGCAGAGTTTCTTAAAACCGAATTGTACTCGTCCTTCAAATAAAAAAGTTGCATTAGACGTACGACTCTACAATCCCTCCCACCCACTATCTAAAAGAATGACAAATATTTGCATCATTTCATTGAAATATATTCGCGTTTATGAATACATCGAAAATCAATAAAATAATGTCATACTTTGGACGTAGTCGTTTTCTACAGAGTGAAATATTTGCAGGTAGCAAAAAGAACTCTCTTTTAAAATTCCAAAATAATGGAATAACTGAATTTTTGTTAGACTATCCTGCAAGGCGGTTAATGTTACAATCTTGTTTAAGTCATACTTTTGAGTCGAAAAAAAAAACATTTCGCAATATCAGTTAACATTTTATGAGCTAGCACATCTACCGTGGGTGATTATTCCAGATATTTGCTCTTATAAGAACCAAACTCCATAGATAAACAGTAGATGGAAAAACCAGTGTATATTTCTATGCTCTAAACTATCACCAACTAGTTGGCGACTCCAACTAGTTATCGTATTTGAGTCACATTATTCTATATATAACTCTATCTCATTCTCTTATCCACCGCGTTAAGCTCACTTTCTCCTTGCTCGTCGTTTCTGTTGGCTGATCAATGACTTGTGCTGTCTGTGAAAATTCTGGCAATATTTTCTTTGCAGGCGATGTATCGACGCAACTGGCGGTTTCAAGCCATGTGCCGACGGGTCGTGTCTTTCCTCGCGTTGATCAGACTCATGCTCATTACCACAAAATGGGCGTCTTCACTGCCGTCAAACCGGATAAGTTCTGCCGAGCAAAATGCCTGAATCGACAAACGGTTCAACATTTCGGCAAATTCATCAATAATCATTAGAAGCAAGTAAACGATAGGTGGGCTAAATCATGAAATGTCGACCGAAACTCCGAAATAATTTTCGTTTCAAAAAAATTAATTAGGCTTGTATGTAAAACAAATCCTCATGCAGCATAACTATATACTAATTCCGTTACCACAGAACAACAGCTTTCGAAGAAAATTCTTTCCCGATGCATTTCAAAATCATTAGCCGTAAAAAATGAACATATAAATATATTTATATATGCATAGCATTCATAGCATTAATAGGAAGCATTCAGCAATTTCAAATATCCTTAAGGATTTTATTATTTATCGTCCATAACATGACGAAAAATATTTATTCTTTTGCTGTGATTAATTTTACAACCCTGCTTACTTAACCTTTTCTAAACGAAAACGCGTTTTGGAATTTCTGTTGAGATTTCATGTATTAAAAACTTACCGTATATAACCGTCTTCATCAAATCACTACTCATGAACCGATGCATCACAGCAAATCTGAATTGAGTCCTCACAGGCCAATTGGACACTCTCTCACTGCACGATCTTCTTTAATGAACAAGATGCCCGTTTTCGGTTCTGAAAGTTTACTTATCAGGGACATTCATTCGGTTGACGGTGGTCAGTTTTGTTAAGCTGATTTATTTACGTGTCAGCTGTTGAAGTCCAATCAAGCATGCTCGAAATACAGTGCAATAACGTACTTAAGTAACCCTTTTTTAGTTGATACAATCGGATCTTCGATGAATGCTTATGTGGTTTATGTATGTGGCCAAGCGTTTTTGATGTTCGGCACTCGGTACGGACTTACTGCTCTCATTTCAGCAACACTACTTCTTCATGTACTACCTCTACCCCCATTATTCTTCAGAAAATTTCACATTCCGGAAAACTTCCTCAACGTTTCCGCCAATATTCATACATTTTATGATACACTGACGGCCGTAAATCATGACGGGAGATTCCCTAATAGTTTATGTTTTTAATGAATCTAAGCCCAGTAAAAAATCAAGCATTTTCTCTGTGCAAAATATATTTATACAAATAAAGAGAAAATCGTTGATAAACGATACAGAAGGATAATAATATTGCAAGACCTAAGAGCCGCGTGTTTTTCAAAAGAGATATGTGGACAGATTTTTTCGATGACTTCGCTCAAGCCGTACAATATTGGCAAATTATACATTTTGCGGCCACCTGGTTACCGTGAGCTGCGCAAAAGATCAAAAAAATTAAACGATACTACCCGACAGGCATCAATCAAAATCCCGGGAAATTTTCATGCGTGACGTGCAAAAGGAAACGACTAGGAAAAAAGTATTTTTTATTTATTTTTGTTCACATGACAACATGTCAGGCCCACCAAACCGTGGTAAAAGCCAACATACCTACTTTTTTCTTGTGTTAATTATAACATAAATTTTGGGAATATTGTGCGGAATACATTGAAGTGTTCGAATTATGATATTTGCAGAGGGGCATAGGTGAAAGCTGAAGTAAACAGGACAATCAACGGGATCAAGTTCGCCATCTCGAAATCTATATGCGTCAATCATCCGATTACGCAGTTTCTAACAGATCTTCAAAAAATAACAATTATACGCAGGTATCCCAGAACGAAACTGAGACTTATGTGTTGACATTAAATTCGATCCATGTCATAGTTAACAAAGGCGTCGCTGAATAAGCGCGATCAACCACAAGGAGCATTTAGGTGAGACTCAAATCCTTCACAGATAATGGAGTTAGTCAAATCAGCGGTTCTCTTTGCGGATCGTGGCAAACCATTTATATGGTACGCAAATTTTCAAATGTTTTTTTTTCATTTGAAACTTAAGGCATGGTGTTTAGCTAAATAACGGGACATCGCAACATTGATGAAGATTACTTTGGTGTCATTTTAACCTTAGAACATCTGCGAGCGATGAAGACATAGGTCTTCAATACCCGCGGATAAACCCGCTAAATAAGGCAGCCGTGGTTCTCTCGAGACTTCGATACGTGGTGACGTGGTTCAGATAGGTGGTTATGAGTGTCCAGGTAGAAACAGGCTAGCCGTTTATTCTGGTTTGACTAACTCCATTGTCCAGATCTAATATTCACAATGCGGGGAATAATGTGCGATGGGAGAAACAGTATACCTTTGGCGGAAGTAAATTCCAGCTGTTTTTCCATTCGGTCCCTGACCAAACGCCGGTGGAGATAGGACAAATGAATTGTCGAATGACGTTGGCCGTCCCTGAATAATGGACCTAGGATGAGTGCTTAGAAAACCAATTTATCGATCTGGCGAAGGCGGACGTAAAAGCGCACAGTCATCTCTAGTCTTGCGTCATCGACTGGTATTTGGTCAGACAGCAATGACAAACAGTCGACGGCACATTTGCGAAATCACTCCCTTCGTTCCTGCGGGGAAAATCAAAGTCGGTTAGTCGAGACTATGAACAACTTCCAAGAAAAAAAAGTATATATACACACAAACAACATGACTGCGAATTGAATGGACTTAAATTGGTGTCACGACTTTGTAAAATAGCTTACAAACCTTGCATTCCACATGCAGCCTATTAACCCAGAGAAAAACCAACTTATCAAAAAGTGGCTCAACAGCTGCCTTCTGTTTGGTCCTCAGAGTGGCCTTGCAGGAGACAGTCAACGGACTGCAAATCGACATCAGTATGTAATCCACTCGAGGCTGCACCAACCTCTTTAAAGGCAACTTTACACCAATCTCCGGCCGAATGAGTCCCCGTGGGGTGGTATGGCGGAAACCGCCACTGCAAGCACGCACCCTGAACGAATGACAATCTGCAGACCATAGGGGCCATACGAAATTCTGCTAACCTCTCTAATGCTCGACACTGCCCACGAAGGAGTAACCGACTCCAGGGAGTTCTCTGGCACGATGGACAAAACACTGTCTCGCTCATAAGCCTGCATTAAATTAAACATTCATCTTGTCAATTTTCCTTACCTCCGTATACCCACTGGGGCTAGAAAACACGTTGAATATTCAAATATTTGAGCCTGGATCTCGCTAGCCGTGACGGTTACTCTAACGTACAAATAAAGATGTTGTCGCCTGCAAGCTCACACACCAAGGACAAAAATTGAATCGCTATGTTAGCAGGCAGCTTACTTTCGTTCGTCAACACGATTCCGAATATCTCAGACTGCACTACCAGCATGGAGGCAAAAGCAGTCGCTGCAACAGATGTATTTGGTGTCGTTATTCTATAATTCTTTAGGTCTCACATCCTTTGATCGCGATAACGTTGCATGCCAGGACGAAACTGGCTCGAGTGTCATTCGTCACTACGCAACGTATTCGCATGCTGACACCTTTAAAACTTACGTGGACTGCGGGCACACCCGATGAAGCAACGAGAAGCAGGTCTTGTCCCTCGTTTCTCAAATCAAACACGCACCGACAGATCCTGTAGAAATTAGTCAAACAGAGCATATTTCATAAGCGAAGAAGAAAAAGTGTCGAGCACCGGAACACGGTGTTTATTGTCGTGAGCTTTCAGACTCGTATATTTCAGTCACTAGAGCAAAGGTCTCTTGGTGGTCTGCAGATTGCATTTTAAAGAGAATCCAAGTTGTGTTTTCATTCGGACTCTGTCCCAACTCCGGAGGTGAAAGGGCGAATGACCGGTAGCTATGTCTTGCCATTCAACTGGAAATCGATTGAAATTTCTGGCAACAATCGGGGTGGTCTTAGTGGTTTACGTATTTTACAACAACTGGATAGTTTTGTCGAGAGATCATTAGAAGTCGTCCACAATTACCGGTATCTGCGCTACTCAATCAAACCCCTATCTCAACTGCCCAGTCGAAAGCCTCCAGCTCTGTCCACCAGACAATGGACGTACCGTGCACAAGTCTATAGACGCTCAAAGGCGGTCATGCCGATTTGCGAGAGAACTGTTCACTGCCTCTGTCCACGACAATTTCGGAATTCGATGTCTTACTTTCGAAGATTTGTCCGCGATGCCTGATGTGCAAATGGTAAGGTTGCGTGTACCTGAGGCCTATATGATCTATCCAATGGACGTTGACCTGAATAATGTCTTGATGGCATACTCCTGCGGTTTGGCACTGAACGTGGTAAGTGCTCTACAAAAAATATTTCCTAGAATTTATGTTGACTTACGTTCATTCATATATTTTTAAAATCATTTATCGTATTCTGAGGAACACATGAATGTGCAAACCTGTCTAACAAATGCATGTCAGTTAGTCCGTATAAATACCACCCCGCTGCACCAGTTTCGCCGCTGACAACTGCTTCCCAGTTTTGATTGGAATACGTTCTTCCACTCTCCGAAGTCCAGCCTCGCTTAATCATTTGACATGTTGTATCTGTTATATTTTTCAATTGACCCTTGACTCCAGCAATAGTTTTAGATAGAGTTTATAGATGGCAGTTGTTTTAATTTTGCATATTTCGGGGAAAATTGTGTTTTCATGGTATTGTTATGCTTACAAGAATGCGCTTTCGGGTCTTGATAAGTCATTTCAAACACCTGTTGTGTAACAACTGGTGCTCTAACCTGTGACCTATTGGTTGCGCCTTCAACACTGACGAACACTATGGTTGTTCTCTCAGCTGCGATCGGCCATGTACAATAGTAGAATTGCAACCAGTGAGTACCCCCTCACAAAACCACGCAGAATCTATGACTAGTTGTGTATTCGGATGACAGACCTTGAGTCAGAATGGTGTAACCGACAAAGACTAGAGAGACTGGAATGGCCATATCTGACTTGAGTTCATTTCTGAGCAATTGTTACCTCTCTGAGCTCATCTGTCAATTTGCATGAATGTAAATTTGTTTAGAAGTTACGTGGCGTCGAGCAATCAAGCTAGAGAAGCCCATTCCCACCACTGTCCTTCTGTGTGTATTTAGACATGCTTGAATCCGAGTCATGCTCCTTGCGTAGATATTTGGTCGGATATTCGACCATGGTCGGCAAGCGAGGACTTGAATATTGCTGTAGTACTTAAACCAGGGGCTGGTAAATACTGAAACCTGGTGAAAGATGCGCTTATTTGTCAAAAAAGACTACAAGTCACCTGCATAGATAATTTTGAAATGCATTTTTGTGCGGTATCCGCCCAAAACCCGTATGTTTACACCATGCAAAGAACTCAGTAACGAAGGCGAAAATACTCGTAGCCAATGGTGACTAATTTGCAGAGGAGACCGTAATTGAATTGGCGCTAACACCTTCAATGGAAAATCAACATGTCGGCGGCACTGGCGTTTTCAGGAGCGTAATGCAGGTGGTAGTTACCTCACCCTACGTCACAGTGATAGACTGAGTTATCCCAAAGAGCTAATTAACTGGGATTGCTTTTAAAGCTGACCATGACATCGCTATATTGTTTTTTCAAAGTCATTCTTATTTTTTTTAAAACATTTATCGTATTCTGAGAAACACTTGACATTTGAACTCGGTAGTCTGTTTAAATCCGACAACTGTTTCCCCGTTTTGAGTGAGGAGGCGTTCTGCCTCACTTGAGTTTTTGTTTCTGTTATATTTTTCAATTGGTCCTTGACTTCCGCAACAATTTTAGATGGAGTTTAATGTTGACACCTGTTTATATTTTGCATATTTCGGGAAGGACTGAACTTTCGTGGCATTGCTATACTTAAAAGAATGTTGTTTCCGGTTTTGAAAAGTCAGTTCAAACCCCTGGTGTGGAAAACCTGGTGCTCGATCCTGCAATCCATTGGTTGGAATTTCACCCCCCTAAACATTGAGGCACAGTATGCCTGTTCAGTCAACTGCGATCGGCCACGTACAGTAGTAGAATTGGAACCAGTGAGCACCTCCTCACCGAACCACACAGAATGTATGATAAGTGGTGTATTCGAATGACAGATCTTCTATAATAATGGTATAACCGACAAATACTAGAGCTACTAGAATGGCCATTTCTGGTTTGAGTTCTTTTCTGAACATTTTGTCCCGCTCTGAGCTCATTTGTCAATTTGCATGAATGCAAGTTTGTTTGGAAGTTACGTTGCTTCGAGACCTCAAGCAGGAGTAGCCCATTCCCAACACTGTCCTTCTGCGTTTATTTAGACATGGTTGAATCCGAGTCATGATCCTGGCGTAGATATTTGGTCGGAAATTTGATCGTGATCTGAAGCGGGGACTTGAATATTGCGGTAGTATTTTAAAGAGTGGCAGGTAAATGCGGAGACGTTGTGGAAAATGCGTTAGTTTGTAAAATAAGGCTACGAGCCACCAGTATAGATGACTTTGGTATGCATTTTTGAGCGGTATCCGCACAAACACAGTACTTCCATACCATAAAAAGAACTCAGTAACAAAGGCGAAAATACTCGTGGCCCAATGATGACGAATTTCCCGAGGAGACAGTTTCCGAATTGGCACTAACGCCTTTAATGGGAAGTCAACATGTCGGCGTCACTGGTTTTTCCAGGAGCGTGATGCAGGTGCTCGTTACTCCACCTGACGCCACTGTGATAGCCGGAGAGGTACTGAGTCGTCTCATAGAACAAATAAACTGTAAGTGTCCTCAAAATATTAAGTACCTGATTCCTCCCCACCTCTGGGGCATTCGTTAAATGAGACATGTTCACCAAATATTCCATGAGTAAGAAAATGTTTTGCCGAACAATTTAACAAGCCTGGTTGCAATGAATTGGGCATCGAAACATGTAGAAGGCTACAGCAGGCGTAATGAAACTTCAGTGACTTCTTTTAAAGAGATATGTCATTTCTTACTTATTTTTAAAAATCATCTGATGAATGTTATTTTTTAGATTGAGGCGTGATTAAGGCGTGATTTCAGATCAACCAGACATTGGATTCCTTTACGTTTTTTGTAAATGTGACATTGCCAAATAGATTGTCGTATGCACGATATGTCATAGACGTAGACTTTTAGTTAGGATAGATCAACTAGATATAGTCGGATTTACAAACGATGGATGGGAAAAAGAGCCCGTGGCTCAGTGGGTTTTGCGCTGAATCAACAGATTTTGCACAACTCCGATTTGGGCATGTGCAACTGACGACGACTGATCAGCCAGAATTGGCCATTCCGGTCTCCCTCGTCTTTGTCGATAATAACGTTCTGTCCATATATGTAAGACGGCAACAACAAGGCAGGGGAAACAGGATTGCCCGTTTCTGGCTCACTAGCCGTCGGCGCCAGCCACATCTAACCCCGGACGTTGACTGCCTGGAATTCGAGCCAGACGTCATTGATCATTGTGGGAGACGCTCTACCATCGAGCAACGGCCTGCAATGATATTCTGCTTATTGAAAACGCCGCTGTGCAGCTGCTGTCAGGGCTCGAGAAAGAACTCCAAGACAAGAGTAAGTTCTCCAACGCGATCTGTTAGCGGCTCTTCACCATACGTGCGATTAACAGTTTCTGAGTACAGCTTTGTGTTATTCATGACTGTTTACATCGTTTGCTGTTTCTGTACTAACCTGGACTCGTAGATGGTAGTAGCCCCTTATCGGAATGTGGGGAGGGTTAACAAAGAATTCATCATAGATTGCTGTGTTCGGTTTACGGACAATTGTACATTCGACATTTTTTGTATCTTCAGAAACCCATCAACAACCCCAACATCTCCATTGTCTACAGCAGCGGGTCAGTGTGTGCCTCAGGGACCGCCAATTCCTACTGGACAATGATCATCGTAAAGAGTGCCCTCACCAACTACGCCCGACGCCTTCAGTTGCGTAAGATCATCAGCCGAGCGGCTGTGGAAGCCAAAGTAAGGGTTGGAGTCCTCTTCAGTCTTGGGCTTCCTGCAAACGGCCAAATACCGCCTGACCTGCTCGCTGAGATCGCGCAATTCGATGACATCCTGCTCGCCAGCTACACGGACACCTACTACAACCTGACCCTCAAGACGATCTCCAATCTGCGCTTTGTTCATCGCCACTGTCTACACGCCAGCTCCACGTTTGTCTTCCTCGATGACGATCATGGGATCAGTCTGAAACAGCTGCGCCGATTCTTCTCAAACTTCCCCTTGTCGGAAGTCCGCAGAAGTATCTTCGGCCACATTAACGCCGGAAGCCCGGTGATGCGTACAAATGAATCTAAGTGGATGACAGAGCGGAAGGCATTCCCTTTCCCAAAGTATCCCCAATACGCAGCAGGTCCTTGCTATATCATCGGTGCAGACCTGATTTCCAAATTCTCTATCGCTGCAGCCTTCACGAAATTATTCCCCGTTGAAGACGTCTTTGTGGGTATTATCGCTGCAAAGTTGGGCCTTAGAATACGTCCTCTACCGAAGATGCACATCCACCGTTCACGCATTCCTCGCAGAGCTTTTCCTTTGGTAGCAGAACTGAAATTCTTTGCCAGAAAGCCTATCACATAGTGCTTTGTTCTACTATGCGCCTGCCAGTAAACTGTGTATTTATGGGCTGTAAAATTCGCCAAATTCACATGACATCACCCTTTGAGTACCAGCATATTATTCCAGACTATTTGTTGTTATGCGTGAATAGACTGTTTTAAGAAATAATCAAGACAATTGTAAGTAGTTGCCAGCTTTTGGTAATGCTTTGGAATGTGCAGGGAAATCCGGAGTCAGCTGGTTGTTAACCACGCTATGGCAAGAAAACATTAGCGCCAACAGACACTCACACGTACACATACAATCGACCGCTTCAATGGCATACTGCATACGTCTTTACCGATAGGCCGGTAGTAATTATGAGTCCGTTGCAGCGAAAAAGTGCTGCGCTCTACCGAATCGAGAAATACGTCTTCGGTTCCGGCGAATCCTCCGGCAGCAAACATTGAAATTCACCCCGTCTCATGGTTTTGACAGGCACAACATATAAATAAATCCTAACGCAAAGGAAACTCTGGCAGTCAATTTCCATAACACCAGCAGATTGCGCTTTGAATCACTACCGTGAAGAACATTCCAGAGAGTGTGTTAGTCAGGCGGCTTCCATTGCCTAATGGATCGGCCAAATCGGATTCAGTGATCGTGGAATGCGAAATTCCAAATTTGTCTTATTTAAGTCTCAGTCGGGAAATACACGACAGAGTGGTTACTAGTCTTTGCAGTTGGTTAAAGGAGAACCTGACAATTTTCCTTCTTAATACCGCGCGCTAACGTACAGTCCATCCACCCATAAAAGTTGTCAGTAATTTTGAGATGTGGGACCATGATTGTTAGTTTACCTATGTCGGAATATTTGGGTGTCTCAGACATCACCACAGGACCTCACCATTGGCGTGATTGGATGGCGGTACGGATGGAGTCTTACAGCTGTGGGATTATGATCGTTGTGTTTACTGACATACTCCTGGGTCGACTGTCGCACTCACCACAGAGGACGGTTTTAATGTGCACTAAGCAGGCACGAAAACTCATGAGTTAGGTCTCGGGGACTTTTGAAAGGGAGGTCTTACTACCTCGATCTTTTAGGTGGTATAGTGGGTGATCCTGCAAGAATGAGTCGCAAAGTATGGACAATATGGAAAACAGACCGAGAAGCCTCTGGCCTTGTAGTGGTGACATTCCGTGGTTGTTCTGTGCTCATAAATTTAGCATGCTCTCCGAAGTAAAGCTTTTTCTGATCTGGTTAAATTTTTTCTATAGGCCTCACCGTCGAAAGGCCAGGGCCACACTGGTGAAAATTTTGAATGAACATTTTAAGGTCGAGGAATATGTTATCCTTCTTTCGGCGCCGCTTTGCGTGTGGAACCAATTGAGTCCTGCTGGATAAACGGTGAAATAACACGAACACAGATTTTAGGATTAGGTTCTCACAGAGCATCCCAAACATTGATCTTGGGTCCCTCATGACGGAGGTGTGCACATGCATGCCAAGTGTACGCTATTTTAGTTGCAGTTCCCCAAATTACTTGCCGACGGGGGGGGGGCACTGAAGCTTGGATGAACTCCATTGACTGTGTGCGTGTGAATACTACCTGAATCAAAAAGGGGCCCACTATTTCGGCAAATGTACCAACTAGTTGAATGCCAAAAAAGCTATTGGGAATGCGCAACAGTACTTTGTGTGGTAGAGAAATAGTTGCTCTAACCCCTAATCATACCTTCTAACATAACCCCTATATCTGACACCTAAATTTAACCCTGCATCCGTCCCTCCTACTGTGTAAACGGAGTTATCATTCGAGCAAAATCCCAATTGTTATCAGCAAGATTTTTGGAAGGGTCGGGAAGGACATAAAGTAGATAACATGATAGTTATGTTTAATATTATAGTTAGGAGTAGGTTAAGGATTATGTTTGAGACCAATTTTAAAGTGTATGGCAAGGTGAGTCTCTATCAAGTTTATGGCTAATGTAGGAGCTTGTGTAAACTGCAGATTTAAGTTTATGAAGTAAAGTTAGAGTCAAGATTATAGCAACGGTTAGTTATATAAGCACGTCATTTTTAGTGAAATGGAATAAGTTAGCTCTTTAAGGAATTACGCGGATACCCAGCTTTATTACTCGGGCGGGGCGTTTCAATCCCAATGTCCACTTTAGGGGGACCAGATAACTCAGTCCTATCATGTTACCTCGTAAACCAGCTTACCCTATCGGCTTCACACACAAAATAACCAGTTCGTCAGTTACTTACAAAATGACAGCTTAATGCGGGCATACAGGGGAGCCACGCATACTCACTTTTCCAGCATCCATACCTGCCTCATACGGGGAAATCTTGCGCACGGCAGCAAAAAGGACTTGTTGAATTACATTTGATGTAACCGTCATTTAGTCGTTGATTGTCACCAGGATTTCTAACTGCGAAACCTTTGTCAGCAGTCCACTTGGATCGTTCTAGCGGAGACGCCTCCACAGCCATATGTGCCTTCGCAGCGACTCATCGTCTCCTTTGATGAAATGCGTGTGATTTGTCTATTTTTGGCCCTGATGCCAGCTCGTTTAAGTGACGTCGAATTGCCAGAATTTCAACGATCCTGGCATGGTAGCCCTAGCAAGCGGTCACGCCGAACTTACGCCATAGGTGGTGATTCCAGATGTGTACGATTACAATAGTCGATTTTGTGAATGCAGAAATAGGTGAAGAATGGAACAACCATTCTAAAACGGACTCAACCTGGAGTGCTTTAATGAGTACATAAGCACAGTCGATGGTCCGAATGTTTTATCTCAAATGATCCGTTTGTTTCTGAAGTAATAAGGAAGTTGTATGCTGTACCTTAGGTTTTTCAGCGAAAATTGCAGTTTTGCAAGTGAAGGAGGTCTGTTTCGAGGGAAGATGTGGACAGTGCATGCGCAGGCTAAGTATGGGACAAATGCTGCTGCCAATATTTATCCGACAATTGACAGTCATGAGAAGGCTTGAGATGAGCATATGTGCATTAATTTGATATAGAGCAGTGCATAAGCACAGAGTAAGATTAGCCGAGCCAGCTTGTTTATTGTTTTGGGCTTTGAACATCGTGTAGGAACCCATTGTTAGAGACAGAAGGGTCAACATAACGAGCCACACTCACTGGAGGTCAGGACGAATCATTGACCGTTGATGCACTATTGGAGGTGACTTAGCAAGGCACATTACGCCAGCGCCAAATCGATAAATCGGCTGACTGAGTTTTCGTCCGAGGTCCAGAATTCATTTGATGCTCAGCCTGTTTTATTTTCGACATGAGCGATTATCATGGTAGATACGAGTAGCCCCGACCAATCAGGCTTGCCTTCTCTGTCTGTATCGCGCCAACCTATTCAGACGTCTGACTGGCTTGTTCGGGAAATAAATAGCTTAATCATGCCAAATAAATTGGACGCATATCTGATGTGTTGGTGATTTTCGTGAGGCGTCTGTTAAATGGAATGTTCCACGTCAATTTAACTACTGTTCTCTATCTCATTTAGGGTACACACAGGCGCATTATGACCTTTATGTCATCATAGCAATTTTCAGTACAAAAGACAGGGTTGTGTGCAGTGAGTAATCATCGTGTATGTGCTTAGATTAACGCGTTCATAACAAGTCCGTCCACAAAATTCTGCAGTCATGAACCTACTCGTTCTGTGCCATATGTGCGCAACTCCAAACCAAAGTAGTGCAAGAAGGCGACTAACGGCCTCGGAGACGTTCTTGATGTATTGGATCGCTCGCCAGCACTTGGGGTCGGTGTGATGTTATCGGTCGTCTCGTCTGCGCAGGCATCGGTTGACGAAATTGCGCGGGTAACCATTTTCTCTGAAAACACGTCAAAGATATTGAGATTCGGCAACCTTGTCTTCCGCTTCACTGCAGTGCATCTCAACACGCCGGACTAGCATTCTTACGCAACGGCGTTTGTGGCCGATTGGGTGGTTACTGTTGAAGGTCAGTATTTGCGTCGTGTTCGTCGGTTTTCTGAACATTTTGACCTGTAGGCCACCACAATCTTTGCAACAGACGAGGACATCTGATGTCCACATGGTTAAGCGTCACGAGCGTAAGCGCAAACGCGTAAGTAATCTCAGCAACATCCTGCTTTGAAAATGCAAATCACTTTATTTTCATACTTCCGGTCTCGTTAATATTATTGGTTGTTCAACATTTACGGCCGATCCGATGTATTTGAAACATCTGTGTTTTTCGGGTTTGGGTGCGTGAAGTGTTAATAAGTTTTCCCTTCCCAACTGGGTTTGCCTCTGGGTCCGAAAGAAGAAAGAGTTCTTCTGACATACTGCGGCCTCTTGTACTGTTCAGCGGCAGGTAACATATAGTGTCTTCCAGGAATACCTAAGAATAATTTATTTCTCTCAGCGCTGGAGAATACTGTGAAGGCAGACGCTTGACGCAAATAGTTTTCGAGATGGCGAACATCGCCCCTTTGACCTTCGGGTTTACGCCAAGGTGCTTTAGCGTTCCGATGGGATCCAATGGATTCGCCACATGCCATTGTCTGTGAAGGCGCTGTGTCACCCCACAATGCACCCCTTGCTTGGCTGTGTCCAGTCAGTGACTTCATTGTTAACTATGACATGGGAATTATTCTTTTTTTAATCTCATCTTTACTCTCCTTCGTCGTCCTTCTAGCTGCTGCCAGCCGAGTAACACCCTTGCGGCCTACAACGCTTCCACTCATATCCTTCCTACACTTAACTCACTCGTTAACACACAACGTATTCCTGACAGCATCAAAGACTCCCCATTTTGCAAGCTCAAATAATATGAATTCAACCTGATATGTCGTTCAATGCCACCATACATATTTTTCGTTTGAAATACTAATGTGGTTTTTATGACGTGGTATCTCGTTTTACATTCTACCGACAATGCAGCGGCCTACTTGATGACCTCAGATATTGTGTGGCGGATCGTGTATTTTCTCTCACGTTAATTTTCTGGTTGAATTAATCATGACTTCAAAGCAAAGCCAAATGGC